GCGGCACGGTTTACCTTCTAAGTAAACGGAGAGAGAGATTTTACTAACAGTGTGGCAAGTGTGCTTGGCATGGTGGTGAGTGCGACAGTTCAATACTTGCCTCTGCGGTCCAGAGTGTGAGAAGGGGGGGTGCCTTTGTGCTGAGTTTTGAGGGGCTTGGCAGACTCTCGCGATGTGCCCCCTTTTATGGCAGTTATTGCAGGTGGCTCCTTTGAACTTGCAGGTGGCCCTCAGATGAGATCCACCACAGGCTAGGCACAGGGTGATGTGCTTGGGCGGACCGATGTTTTCTTGTTTGGCTCCTACCTGCGGCCGTCTGGCGTTGGAGAGGCGGTGGACATCATTTTCATCACTAGGGGCTTCCTCTGCTACCACCTCCTCGGAGTGGACTGGAACTGTCGTTAGCTTTGCAGTCGGGCCATGGATTTCGGTGGCTGAGTGCGCTGCCAGTTCTGCTGCCAAGGCCTCCTCGACGGCTTGTGCTAAGTTGAGGTCCTTTTTAGCGAGAAGGCGCCTCTGAAGGTGGAGGTCCTTGACCCCGCAGACTAGTTGATCAAGGAGCATGTCCTCCAGGTAAGTTCCAAACCCACAATGCAGTGCTGCTGTTCTGAGGGCGGCCATGTACTGATTGATGGTCTCCTTGTCCGATTGCTTCCTCATACGGAAGGTGAATCTCCTGGCAATCTGTGAGGGCCTGGGAGAATAGTGGTTAGTGAGGATTTCAAGTAGTTCAGACCAAGGAACGTTTTTCAACTCACGTGGAGCCACGAGGGCTGTGGCAGTATCGAAAACGATGGCTCCACAGTAGATCAGGAAATACGATTTTTTCCGATGCTCCCCAGCATCAGCCAGCCCGATTGCATCGATATAATGGTTGAAGCGGTTCTTGTATGATTCCCACTTCTCCTCATCCGGTTTGAACGCTGGGAAGACTGGATTGGAATTCATGGTGATGGGACCGGTGGAACAACCTGTGGACAAAATCTCTCTGGGGCAGTGGCAAAAGGTTCTAGTGCCTGTGGCAGGCAAGTGATTTCAGCTCTGGAGAGGCTTTTCGCAATCCTCTCTCTCTCTCTGGGCTAGCACACGGTTTGGCTATCAGCCGTTGGCAGCGTTTGAATTCGCGCCTGTGTGGGCGTCAGTGACTTGACTACAGCACCGCGCTGTACCTTTTAGGTTTGAAATTCAAATGACAGCCGTTTGAATTTCGCGCCTAAGCAAACGAGCGGCTGCGGCTCGCAGCGCTTCACTTTTCCTGTAGCTGGGCTAACAAGCGGCTACAGACGCTTCTAACTTTCGATTCTGACCGCTCTCTCTGGCTGCGGATCAGCGTTTGCTTCTTAGTGCTTGCTGACCGCTTTCTCTGTCAGCGGATCAGCGTTCGCTCTTTTTGCTTGCTGACCGCTTTATCTGGCTGCGGATCAGCGTTGCTCTTATCGCCGGCCGATCGCTCTCTCTCTGGCTGCGGATCGGTGGCTAGTGACTCAGCGGTTGCATGGTGCTTCTGGTAGCCATCCCATCCTCGTCGCCAGTGTTAAGTTTGGGAAAGGAGAGGCTGAACCAGAGCATGAGTGCAACAATACTTTATTATAACAATAAACGGCTGACCGTGCTTGCCAAGCCGGGAACTGGCTCGCAGCGATCAGCAACTGGTTGGACCCTGCAGCCTGCTTTTATAGCTGGCTGCTGGGGAGAACCAACCAATGAGTGAAGGGGAAGAACGCCCCCGCAAAGTGAATGGACCTGAGTGAGAACTCCTAGGGTTCTCAGAACATAACACCACCAGTCTCAAGGTTGTCCATCCTTCAAGTGGCCAATGAGGAGTCAAATCGATGGGGGCAATATGCTGACTCTGCAAACTGCTTAGATAGGGTTGTAAAGAAAGTACTGGGTAGTCTTATATAAGTCTAACTGCTATTGATATCTCTGCCCTTACATTGCCCAAAACATCAGACAATGAGTTCGCCTCAAACTTTAACCCAGTCCTCAAATTCACTTCAAATCTTAACCTAATCTACAAATCAGCCAGCTGCATTTTTAGTGAGCATGTTGTATAAACTTAATCTAGTTATCTTATGGTTAAGCAGGTAACACAAACATGTCAGATTTAGCCTGGGTATTACTACCTTTGTTAAACCTTGATATTCTTCAGAGCTCAGCAAATGTGGATGTAATAAGACCATGCAACTTTTAGAAATCTCATTAGGGGTGTCTGTAGCCCCATGTGGCAATGGCCATTCTCTAATATTATAAAATCTCACCCCCCCCCCCCATTTCCCATTCAAACAATCTTCACTTGATAAGACAGATCCCATAGTTGACTGAGAACCATAATTTCCTTCATTGCCACATGGGTGGAGTTTGCACATCTTTTGTTAAAATAGGTTTGGCTAATTTAGGGTTAGGGCTGTTGTGCAAACCCAGCCTATTTTTTTATTCTTTTTTGGGGGGGGGGAGGGGAGAACAGAGATATCATTTTTACCAGCCAAGCCACATCATCCTGTCACATTCATAAAGTCAACAAATTAAACTTTTCCTAGGATCTAGAGCCTATGGTGGTGGGATGTTTTCCCAATTAAGTTCTTAAGTCTGACTTTCAAACATTCAAAGCAGAAACACTTGACATCGGGAATAAACAGAAGTACTTCTGCTAAGTATAACTTATTTTTTCTAGTAAAGAATTCAACTCACGTTTTCATCCAGCTTCTGTGTCTCCCTCGAGTTTAGTCTACTCTAAAACACAAGCCCTTGACCCTGAGTGGTGATTGATAGAATCAAGCAACTCGGTTCCTGAAGATTTGTTTCAGCTGTGAAGCTCTTTCACTTTCTATTCTTCTACAAGGGCTTGGATTTCAGGCTAGTTGTGAGAGTTTTCTTTTCTTTTTGCTCTTTTTTATCGGGATGTGCCTGAGTAAAGCAGGAGGTCCCCAAAATGAATAAATAAAGGGGAAAATATCTTTGCATGCCCCGGACTTTCTCAAAACCCTTTAAACTGGCATGCTTTCAAAAATCTGAAGCTGAAATGTATTTGCAGAGTGATAAGCAAATGGGATGAGGACAGCATCCACAAAATAAGTGATCAGGTTTAAATAAATTTATTTTTAGTATTTCCTGGCAAGGGGAATATGTGCAGGATGTGTGACAGGATGTTGTGGCTGGGTAGGTAAAAATGATTATCCCCCCCCCCCCCGCAAAAAAAGATATCAAGAAAATGAGACTATGAGCAAACTTATTATCATTATAGATAATCCTTGACTTATGACCACAATTGGGTTCAGAATTTTGGTTACTAAGCAAGGCAGTCATTAAGTGAGTCATCAAATGTTTTACAAACATTTTTATTGCAGTTATTAAATGACTCCAGCTTTCCCAATCGATGTCAAAAACTGGATGGGAAGATTAGTGAATATCAATCAATGACTACAAGATTCTGTCACAAGTCGTAATAGTGAGCCAGTTGCCAAATGCCCAAATTGCAATCACGTGACTTCAAGGCTAGTGCAATGATCGTAACCACAGTGGATAAAAACGATGCTTTTTTAAAAAAAATCTGATTTAAATAAAAAGAATCTGATTTAAATTAAAAATC